ATGGTAAGTTTCCATTTACTCCATATCAGTTTTGGAGTTTTATTCTCATACTATTTTATTTTATGTAATTCAATAATACGGAGTATTATACTCCGTAATTATTGTATATAAATCAATTTATGAATTTGTGTTACCGTGCATCAAGTGTATGAGTACTACTAACATGTGCCTTTATAAATTTGATTTTTAAGCATGGCAACTTTGTAATTTTGTACTCCGTATAAATGATTTCTGAATTAGGATATATGTTATTCCGTACAACTTATGTGTTATATTTATTTACTAGTCCTTAAATATAAATTTAGGTTATGTAATTATTATATTACTTTGTTGCTGTATAATTTGTTAGGTTAAACAGGTTAAAATTCTTAATACATATATATGGGTGAGTTTTTATTTCTAGTGAAAAGAATAAAAGAGCAAAAACAATCTCGTGTTGAATTTATTTTCCGGAGTAGTTAGTTCTGTAGATATATGGATGTAAACATTAAGATTTCTAATCATTTGAATTTACATAACCACATATGTTTATTTTCTACTACGTATTATTTTTATCAACTTACTAATTTTGAGGTTTCATGTATAGGTTGTGTTTTGTGTACACTTATGGGCGTGGGCATGCCAATTTTACACGCTACACAAACAATTCCACACTTTTTTATAAATTCTGATTTTTTACAAATTGGGGCCGGTATACACAAGCAACTAGGGAACATATACAAAAAAATCTGTAATCGGTGTGTATAATAAGAATTCTTCTTAATATATTTCTCGCCATCCCAGCACCTCCTCAGATAAAGTTCTGGTTCCGCCACTGGTTCATATTTCCCCTTTTGGAAAGTTTTATGTGGCTCGCATTCATTTACCTTTTTCTTACTCAACCGCAATCATACATTTCCACTTTATTCTCACTTTCTTAAACTCCGATCTAAGTCAATGCAGGAACTATTTTATGAGATGGAGGGAGTACTTATTTGAAGCTGACCATAAAATTGGTTTTACTACTATACTCTCATACTTCATACTCGTATAATTACTATTAGAATCGAATGAAGTCATGAACGAATATATGTTTTCTGTTAGGTGAAAAGAACCTCATGCTAAGTTGCTAACTGATTCGTAGTTAAAGGAGTAATCTCATCTCGTGCATGCATCGAATGTGCTTTAAACAATACCCAATATTTAATTTCTTCAAAGATTAAATCATTGGAAGCGGGGCGGAGCCACCTATAGACTTGTGGTGTCAATTAAATGTTCTCTTTTATATATAGGTATATATAATTTTTTAAAAATTTAAAATTGACACCACTGAAAAATAACCTACATGTAGGTGTATGTAATCTTTCAACCATTTAAACTTGACACCACCATTTTAAAAATAGAAATTGTTCAATATAAGACTAAAACATACACAATGTTCAAAATAGGACTAAGTATGTTTTAGTCCCCAAATAAGACTTATTTTGTCCTTAAAAAAAATACTTGATAAAAACTTTTCAAAATAGGAGTCTTCCCAAAATAAAAGTTTGGGTGGCACAACTCGTACTCCAATAGTCCAACTCTAAATCGCTGCAAGAAGGAATGACGGAATCACAAAAGAACCGATTGCACAATCGAATGGAAGATGCTTTGATGAATGCAATAATATCTTATTTACTTTTATTGGAAAAAATATTTAAAATTGTTAACAGAGAAAAAATGCACAACATTTTCAACATATGAAAAACAGAAAACGCGTTGTGGGTAGTTGTAAATTAGGACTTTAATTTTATAAATGACCATTTTTTCTATTTTGCTTTATAGAGGTACGAGAAATGATCTTGTCAGTCCAGACTAAAGGGAACCACCTTCCGGCCAAGCCTGTTTGAGAGATTTGCGGGTCAAACTTTTTGATAAATTTTTGTGAACATGTTCTTCATGAAATGTAGAACACCTCCACATATTGTTATCTAAAACTTCCACTCGTAATGCAGTCAAATAAATTATTGAAAAACACGGCGCTTTATATGTATATATACATAAACCATTGTATTTTTCAATAATTTATTTGATTGACTTAGCAATTGAAGTTTTTGATAAAATTTTGTGGTGATGTTCTACACTGAACATGTTCAAAAACTTCCATAAAAAAACTAGACCCGGAAGGTCCTCAAACGGGCTTGTCCAGACGGCAAATCTAGTTAATCCGGATATAATATACTATTGACAGCACTAACATTAAATCCTGACAAATCTCGAGATAAAATTAAACAAAATTGTTTAAACTGTTGCAAATTTCTATGAAAAATTATCAGCTATATTAACTCTAATAAGTAATAATTGACTAATAGTTATGTAGTTTTTACGTAGAGGGCACTTGGAGAAGAGATGGAATAGAGAGAGTTGGAGGGGAGGGCTGAGAATTCAAGAGAAGAGTTAACTAGTTAAGTACTAGGAGAGTAGGAGGCCGCAGAAGTGTATGGAATGTTTCCCACACCGGTAGCTTTGGAAATACTCACTCCCGTAGCAATCATATAACTCGGAACATGTTATCTACATTATCTCACGCAGCCACGCGATGCACACATAGCGAACTATTCTTTCGCCTTTTACTAAAGAATACCGTGTGTGCGTCGCAAACAGTGGCATACGCCCATTTTTGGAGGGCTTCCTTTACATAGGAGCCCAACAAGCCCAGTCCAAAATTTTTAACGGGTTCTCTTTGAAGGAGTGAAAAAGTTTATGTGGGAGTTCATTTATTTCAATCCTTGTAGTTACACGTTAATTTTGCAAATCAATAGCAACTAAAGTCTCACTTAACTGTTTTTATTACTCTTAAAATTTGTCTAGAAACTTGTGGTTGGGCCCGTTTTGAGATAAGGTCATGTGTTTCATTCTTAATCAAATGTGTTTCATTCTTAATCAAAGTGGTTCATGTGTTTGAATTCCGTTATCGTAAGAGGGTCGCACCGTTAAAAACGCCTTTAAAAGGCCGTTAAAAGTAACCCGACTTTCAAATGTGCCCGAAAAATTAAAAGAAAAATACCGAAAGGTGCGCCTCGTCAAGATGACCTCTAAACCACCTTCGGCTTTGGATTTTTCAGACCTCTAAACCACCGCTAATATCACTTTTTCGGTGGACTTTCCGGTGACAAGGGTGGCTAAAAACAAAAAAGAAAGGTGGCCTAGCGGCCGTCTTATTGAAGCGCTCCTTCCGGTATTTTCTTTTAATTTTTCGGGCACTTTTAAAAATTAGAGTTGATTTTAACGGTCTTTTTCAGATGTTTTTAACGGCATGACCTTCTTGTGATAACGGAATTCAAACACATGAACCACTTTGATAAAGAATGAAACACATGACCCGATCTGAAAAACGGGCTTAACCACAAGTACCTTTCCGTACTTTTCCCTTAATTGTTTGTATACCAAACAGATCTAAATCAAGCAGTCAGTTTTTTACCAAACAATTACGACCTTGTTTTTTAAGATCTTTTCAGTCACTAAAAGCTAACCGTTATTAAAAAGTTTACAAAAGTTTCTTTTCAGCTAGTTGTGTCAAACACCCTAAAAATCTCTTACTTTTTCATAAATTGTACAATAAACCTATAAACTATCTTAAAATACGTGAAAAGCCTAGTAGGATTCTTATTTTAATACGGAGGGGGGATATAACGTAAATCGGTTGAAGTTCATAGTTTTGGTTGCCATTGAAATTAAGTTGCCCAAGGCTCACACACTTCTTTTACATTATTACATTAACGATAGTTACAATTGATTCTCTAATTTATTAATGTGTAATAGTCTTGAGAACAATACCAATATATCTCTAGGATACAATGTTACACTTAATACTGTGTTGTGAGTATTTTTGTCTTGGGAATGTATTGTTCATAGACAACAAAATACCCAACATAAACAACGTGCAACGTGTATGAGGCGTGTGTGAATATTTTCGGACGTGTACATTTTTTTTTGCTACAAATAAACCTCTACAAATTGCAATGATGAGTGCATAAATCAAAGTGAAGTTGATGTACAAATCAATGTCGGTGTCAGATATAAATTGTCTGTGTGACCCATTTAGATATTCTCATATTCATATGTATTACTTCATACATATACAAAGTATTTGTGACATGGTTGATTGAATGTCCATAGAAAGCGTCCAAGCTAATAAACATGCACAATTCTCATGTAGTAAAGCATGGCTGCATGCAGCTAAGCTAGAGGTGCTATCAAGCGAGTCTAGATTGAGTTTAAATGTGATTTGAGTGTTTGATAGATAAGAGTGAATTTGAGTTCCCAATGAGTTTCAGTCAAGTCAAAGTGGTAGTTTAAGTTCGAGCTTGAGTTATAGTCGAATTTTTTCTAGTGTGGAAATGTTTTTTTTTTAAGTAAATGATTTGATTTGCTATCAGGATGTTTTTACTTGGATTGTAATCTGTCCCAGGTCAGACCACACCAGACCAGACCAAACCAGACCAGACCAGATTAGAATAGACCAGACTTGAATAGTTATAAAAATACAAAGATATCAGACCAGACCAGATCAGTTCATATCAGACCATCAAATAACAGTCCAAATAAAAACATTCTAAAACATACATGGACAATCATAAAATATTCATGAAACATTAAATCAATGTTTTAATTTTGATACAAATTAGACTATCTTTGACTAGGTATATAATTTTATTTAAAACTAAGATGATCATAATCTACTACCACTTCTAAAATATTACCTAAATATTAAAATACAAAGAAACCAGACCACGCCAGTCCAGACCATACCAAACTTGGATAGTTATTAAAATACAATGAAACCAGACCACGCCAGATCAGACCAGACAAGATCATCAAATTAGAGTCTTAAATTGGCACTTGGCACATATAATTTGAACTAGAAAGTATTGCATTGGTGATGCTCTAAGTAAAATCATCCTAAATTGCCAACTTGCTTGATTAGCACATGTTAGAGTATTCCTTGAAGCCTAGAATTTCATTATTTCAACAAATTCACCTGTATTTCTACCAATTTCTTCCTTTCACCTACTTATGAATTCTGATGGGAAGGACGACTTTTTATTTTAAAAAAATCCCCTTTTCAAATTTCACCAGACCCTAATCAATTTATCACTCTATTTGTCTTCTAAATTACCATGTGTAGCTTATTATGCTCCTCTCATCTTTGTTCATGACTGCATTCATGACTTCTAACTTGTGCCTTGGCTACGAAAGATTCAAGCGAGACACCCAATTTTTGTGGCTTCGAAATGGGTAATTTCAAGAACATACTTTTTATCAACCTGCTTGGTAGAATTCTTTGATGTTTCTTGTTGATGGAGGATTTTATCGGAAATTGGTTCACTTTATTTTGGAATTTCGAATGTAGCAATCTTCACTATACTCCCATTGGACTCTATGTCCAGGGAGAATAGAAAATTGAGTACTGAGTTTGATTATTCGCCTGAAGCTTTGAGAAACCTATTCTTAGTTGACTGTTAAGGGAAAGTTCATTTACAACTCTGTTTGCTGGAAAGAGAAAAAGTGCTGTTTGAGACCTAAGTCATTATTGATTGGATTGGATTAGATTAAAATGGGTGTTTGGTTTGGAGCTATTACTGCTATTGCTGGTTATGTTGCTCAACATTGGAATGATCTTTTACGGTGTAAACAAAATCTTGGGGATTCACCTAATGGAATTCCTGAAATTTTGAAGCATAACTCTTCTCAGAGTGTTCCTCAAGCCCTTAATGAGGACTGCCCTTCCCTGGGAATGAAGCTTAGAAAGAAATTTGATGAAAATGGTTTGTCTAGGGAAAAGGAACTAGTCCGTGAAGATGAGAATATGGTGGAAATGAATTCTAAAAGTGGTATATTCGTGATGGATTATTCTGATAGTCCCTATACGATTTCTTGGTCAAGGAATAGAAACTGCCTAAGAAGTAGAATTGCGGATAGACGTATCATGAAACCATTGACTTCTCTTGAAAATTGTTTGGTGGCCCAGTTGATCCACGAACGGGCAGAAATGGAAGAGTGTATATTTGGTTCAGTTCCTTTACGCCCACCACCATACGCGCCTCAAAAGGGCATTGTTCCACAACAGGAGACACTATATGGAGTTCCTCAACTGCCAAATATTGGGTCCAGCAAGTTCCAAAGAAAAGAAAGAGTTGGTAAAAAGAATCAGATCAGAATATATCGCAGTTCCAGGAAAAAGATGACCAAAAAGCGCATTCAATCTCAAGGTAGTAACTTCATAAAATAAGGGTTTACGGAGGGAAGGGGACGGAGGACTGGTTTTTATTTTACTTATCCATCTTTATTGTTAGTTGTTGAGTAAAATTAGCTATATGATTAGTTAGATACTCAGATCTTGTGTTTGTATATACTTTTGTATCTTCACTTTCTTTTCAACCATCTTAATGTAGAAACAATTTGAAGAAAACAAATCACCCCTTGTTTTTCTTCCCCTGCAAATCCCCAAATCAATCAAGCCCTTAGGGCGGGTTTGGCATAACCGCTTGAGTCTACCATTGTGCGATGGAGGTATAGGGCCTGAATTAACCTTCTTGAGGCTAGATTTAACGCTAAGAAAACGTCACCTAAACCAACCAATGCACCAATCTAAATTGAATCAAGTTAATCAGAGGTGATTCAGTTTGCGGCTTAAGGTTTAGGCTCTGAAAATTGATTCAATTGAAAGAAGGCAACCACAATTGACTAATCCAAAACAGACTTATGTTATTCGGTTTGGTTTCATGTTTTGCATTTCTCAAAACTGATTCAACCTTAACTGAACCAAATACAGACCGATAGATGGACACTCCTAGCCTAGATTTTACTTTCTCAAAACCAAAACCAAAACCAAAATAAAAAATGACCAAATGAAACCAACTTGTGTTATTTAGTTCGTTTTTTTATTTGCATTTTCAAAGCCAATGTGGCCTTAACCAACTCAAACAAAACTGGAAGACGGAAAACTCTGAACCCAGTTTTGTCCCCATCATCATCATCATCATCACCACCCCAGTGCCGCAAAGGCTCTCACTTACGGTGGGGTAGGGGGGGTTGGATGTACGCAGTCTTACCCCTGTACTAAAGCACAGAGAAAATGTTTCCGAATGATCCATAGTGAAAATCGCGTCGAAAATTGCATAGACTGACTATTACTTCATAACAAAGAAGCACAGACAGTTTGTCCCCAATACGTGAACCCAGTTTTGTCCCCAATACGTTGCAAAACATACCGTGCACTCAGGATGTCATTTTACATCCAGGTAATTTTTGTGATTTTTATTTGCTCGTTTTGAATCCGAAAATGCTCATTTTGGCATGCTCATAATTTTTTTATTCTTCACTTTTTTTCTTATACAATGCTCATTTGAATATGAATAAGACCCATTTTACTGTTTACATATGAAGAAATTAAGAATGCTATCTGGATTTACTATGCACACAGGACATCCTGTTGTACAATATATATACATTCTCCCAATGTGTAGGAGTTTCATGATTTGATTCACAGTTTTTGTGCAATTTGAAAAAACCATGACGTATCTTGAAAGATGTTACAGGCATATTACCTTCATAAATTAGCTTATCCTCCTCTTTTTTATTTTTTTATTTTTTATTTTATTTTAAAAGCTTGTTCCCATGATGACCTGAATTTGTATTTTGCTTCTGGCAGTTTTGGCTCATAGATTAACTTTCTTTGTGATTCAGGATTTTCTAATGAAGCTTTTCTTCTGTCCCTTGGGATATACATTGGAGTTTTCTTTTCTATGGTGGCATATAAAAAAGAAATAGAAAAACTTAACCTAATACTGAAGGAGACAAACTATTTGGTTCAAGATCTACAAGAGGAACTTGAAATGAAGGGTTCATTAATTGTGAAAGAAATTCACGCTGAGGATTATAACAATGACGGGTTGCATTCACTTTCTTCTCAGCAGAATCATAAGACATTGGAGTGTTGTGTTGAAGAACAACAATGGAAGCACACAGATGAAGAACCAATGAGTAAAATTGAAGTAGAGCTTGAAATGGAACTAGAGAGATTAGAACAGAATATAGATTCATCTCATTTGGAAGGGAAATTCATGGAACTAAATGAGGTAACACCTTTTCATTTTATTTTTACTTGTGTAGTAACCCACACTTAACCATATAATTTGTTTGCTTAATTATGTAATAAATTAATAATATCACATACTGAATGAATATGCATATAAACAAACCAACATATACTTCATTGGGTTACTCCTATAGAGTTGACTTCATATGGTGGTATTTGTTTGGTATTATTTTACCTGTCACTAATTCTATAAGGTTGATCTTTAGGATGAACCACATATCTTTATATGGTAAGAACCTTCATCCTCAAACAACTTTATCTTCAAACAGTCAAACAAGCAATTGATCTGACTAAGACACATTGAGCACACAAATTTCAAAATTAGTCAAGTTTAACAATGTGGCACTATAAGATTTTAGTGATCCCCACCCTTAGTGTGTATAAATATACAAAATCAATATATAAGATTTTGCACTCCTTTTCCTTTCAATTCTTAATGGATGGACCAACATGTTTTATCTGGGATTTACTCACTGTTGCCCAAAAAACTTCACAGCTTGACCCAGAGTTCATACCAGATTTACCGGAGGGTGAGTTACTAGATCAGGCCTTTAATAGAAGGGGTATTCTACATTATGGAGACCGTGATGAAGGTGACAAATCCACTCCTCCCTCGGCAAATTATGCTGTCTCGCCTAGAGAACTATGCTTGAGGCTACATGAGGTCATTGAATCACAACTTCAAGAACATGTGAGGGAGCTTGAGACAGCTCTTGAAAATAGCCAGAGAAAGGTTCGGTACATGGAAGTAGAAGAAGAAGAAGAAGAAGAAGAAGAAATAAATTCTTGTATAGAATTATCTAACCGTCTAAATGTTTGGTCGTGAATTTAGCCAGATGCTCAAGATGAAATGTCAAAAGTAAGAAAGCCAGAAGATGACGAGATTCAGAAGCCTCTGATTATGGGCGTAGAGGGGGGAACCGAGCCCCGAGCTTGGTTATTTTTTATCTTGTTCGATTTTTTGTTTAAAAATGTATATGAATGCATATTTTTTCCTTGCCCCAATTTTTGCTAAATCAAAAAGGTTTTGATTTAGCATATTGCTCAGAAAGCTAGGAAACGCTCTCCTGCAGTTTTGTGTGCCCAGAAAGCATTGGTTCGCATGGATGTTAATGAACTTCAAAATTGGGATTTGATGTGGCCAGATTTTATATAATGAAGTGGTTAAGATTTTGTATACATTTTTTGTTGAGTTCTCATTTTTTACATAAGTCTTCTCATTAGAAGTTTGTACACAATAAAGACATCATCATTCATCATATCAATTAAGAAAACATTCCCTTTGGGTTGGCTTAGCCCAAAAAGACCAGGGTAGAGTGGTAGACCCGCTTCCAGAACTGGACCGTTCAGTCCGGACCGAAGCAAGCAGCACCTCGGGTACTGTTCCGTTTCATTTTTATTCCCAAAATCTTTTGAGACTAAGACTTGGGTGTTTGTTTGTTGTTGTTGTATTACATAAAAATAGAATAAAACTACTTCACAATAGAATAAAATTGTAAAACTGCATTGGGACCACTCGATAATTTTAAAAATAGTTTGAGCTTTTAATGCCTCGTGTAATTTTAAAATAGTTAATCTTACTTAAAAATTTTCTTTGTTTTAGAAATGCTAAACGTTGATTTTTCTAAAAAGAGAAATTTGGATTTTGTTAGCCCAAATTTGCACATGTTTTTTATTGCATATGTTTTCCAAAATCAAAGCTAAATACGGAGTATACAATTCAGAGAAAATAAATGACATAGTTATTAATCAATATATATATATATATATATATATATATATATATATATATATATATATATATATAAGAGGAACATTTTAAGAGCATACGGTGTGCCACATAATCCTGCCATGTCATCATATATAATAATTATTAATTACTTTTTATGCTTTTTATATTTTATTACATTCTATTTTTTATTGCATATTGATATGGAAACAAAATATTGTACGATTATATAGAATCCACCTTATTTATACTACGTAACTTTTTGAGAACCTCTACTTACTCCGTATTAATTTGTATGACACGGATTAGCATCCTTTTTTATTTGTAATAAAAAATAAAGTAGATTGAAAATTTATTTGTAAGAACTAAATTTTAGATGATGAAGTACGTCATTCATAAAATTTAGTTACAGTTGATTTAATTCATAATTTGTATTAATTTGTATGACACGGTTCAACCATCCCTTTTTCATAATTTGGAAGATTCCGTCAATTTATCCCAATCAGTTAGATTTAATTTATATTACAGTAAAGTCAGACAATTCGACTCATTTTGGTATTATCAAACGGCTTTATATGAGACTGAGTTTATTTTGCTTTTACATGACATTAAATTATACTACGTATGTGATTTCGAAAATATCAAATTTACAATTGACTAAATTATGTAATGCCCGTGCATCGCACGGGCTTGAAAGCTAGTTAATAATAATAGTATACATATCATCAATATTTCATTTTTGTCCCTTGAAAAGTATTCTATACGACGCCAAAAAGAAATTAACAATGTAAAAAAAGAATGACGATAATTTGAGGAATTATGCTAACTAAATTCATGAAATATGGAATGGAAAATAGAAGAATAATTCAGAATTATTTTGATAATACTTTGGTGCAATCATGTCCTTAATTTATATATTTGGTGCAATTACATACAACTATATAAGGTTAAAGGATCAAATGAGCCCTCGAACTAATTTAAAAAGTGCAATTCACCCCTTATATAGGAGGCTTTGTCTGACCATCGTCAATTGGGGCGGTTCCCGGTGGAATTGTTTTATGAATTTTTTTGAGCATCTTCTTCATTAAGTCTAGTTTACTTATACCAAATTTCAGCTAAAAATTCAATCGGAAAGGCAATCAATTGAATTTTTGAAGATAACTGACAGTTAAACAACGCAATACATTTCAGAAAATCATTTGACAGTCTGCCCTATTAGGTTTTATCTGAAATTTGGTATGAGTAAACTAGACTTAATGAAGAAGATGCTCAAAAAAATTCATCCAAAAATATTATCGGGAACCACCCCAATTGTCGACGGCCGAACAAAATCTCCTATATAAGGGGTGAATGATACTTTTTTGTTAATTCGAGGGTCTATTTTACGCTTTAGCCTATATATAATCATGAACAAATCTGCATACTTAGGAAGTTTTCACCTAACATACTTCCAAATTGCAGAGTGTAGACAATACTATTAGAGATATACGATAGTATAAAAAACTTAAATAAATTAGATTAAACACGATTACAAAATTTCTATTTCTTTGTCATGTTTTTCAGTTTTTGCCCTTGAAATTCATATTTTCAATATTGTAATACGGAGTATTGTATGGCCGTATGAAGAAACGAAAGCGCGCGCATATTTCGGTTAGGGATTCCGCGAGCCTTTGGCCGATTAGCCGATAAGTTTCGGGGCAAGCTTTCAATTCGATCTCTTCGTACACGGCTGTGGTTGGATTCAATCCGGAGTACTCTAGTAGGGAAATTGCTCTGCAAATTGCATGCGAGGCCGCCGAAGACGAAAGCTTGTTCGGTGAGTGTTCGGGCCATATCCCGGTGCCGGCGGCCCGGCTCTTCCAAGTCGCTCCTTGGTTCGATATTCTGAACACCCGGTTCACGCATCATTTGGTAATTGAATTGAAGATTATTGTTTTTATCATTAATAAGGAAATTTAGGTTTGCGTCATTTTAGGCTTTGGGCGCTAAATGATAGGGAATTTCTTCCTTTCAAAGCAGTAATGTCTGGTAGTTGATAATGGAGGCAAATGAGCTCCGACTGGAAGATGAATTTTTCAATTGATTGGCATATCGATTTGATTATGGTAAATAAGTGAAACCTGCCTAATAATTAGGGGACCTGCGAGTAAAAAAAATCCATCACCAACTCCAAATTATATTTCGACTGCAATTGATGTTACCAAACTCTTATCCTTTGGAAACAATTAGAAAACCGTATTGTTAAGTATGAAATAGGTTAATTCATCTTTAATGGAGATTCCACTGCAGAATCAACCATGGAGAGTTGTACAGATACATCATCAATCAGGATTCCACCAGCCGTGTTTGCTCCTGATACGCCTCCAAGATGCTCAGACTGGAGTTCAGCTTCCAATGAATCATTGTTCAGTATCCAAATGGGAGGGAGCTTCACCAGGGATCATTTCTTTGGCTACTCTGGGGAAATAACGAGTGATCTCCCTCCTCGTATCCATGCTGCAACCAATGAAATGGCAACTGATCCCCCGCTTCCTATCCAGGCTGCGACCAATGAAATGACAACTGATCCCCCTCTTCAAATCCAGGCTGCAACCAATGAAATGACTACTGATGGAAACAATCACGAGGTAGGACAAAAACTGCAAACAACTACTGATGTCTGGAAAGAGGTCATACAGGAGGAAGAGGAACACAATCATCCCAAAAAGTCAAATGAGGAGACACACATTTCTCATTACTCTGTGGAGAGTATCACCAGTGACAGATCATTTGCATTCCCAATGTGAGTACTCCATAATTGTGGTTAGTTTTTCCACCTCATACCTAAAAACATAACTACCTGCTAAGTTCTAATAATGCACACCAGTTTCACTCCAGTATCTCTGTAAATAAGCCAGGATTGCTCTCCTGTCAGATGTGGGCAGTTTTTCCTACCCGACTGCTTTGATGTTCTTTTCCTCATTTTTCTAACACTAATAACCACCCCTTTGTTAGTAGATACTAGATAATGTAGTTGTTTATTGTTATGTCATCTCATACCACATAATATAAAAAGATACAAACTCGCATGTAAGACCTTAGGTTGCTTCCTATATGAAGTTGATGTTTTAAGATGAACTAGTCTTAATATGGTATTAAAATCTATTTTGTTCAAACGAGCAACCAATCCTGTTAAGGCTAAAAAAGAGTATAAATTTCAAGATTGGTCTTCTTTCAAGATATTGGTTGCTCTTACGAGCCGCCGTCTTCTGCAAGAATGTGTAGCCATTTCATGCTGTCTAAATTTAAGAATATAGTAACATATAAAATTTTGAATTACTGATTACTCTATTAATTTGACCTTTTCATATGCAATCCCAATTCTTGATATTTATTGTTCTTGGTGTGTAGAAAAGCCAAATTTTCAAGCAGAAAGGTGGAAAAGTATGCTCTATTTGGGCTGAAGAGCAGGGGTTGGATATAAATGTGCATATAATATTATAATTTGAACATTTTTAATGGCATCTAGATGAGAACATGATCTGATTAGTTTGAATGTAATGAAGATTGACAGGGCAGACTGATAAAGAAGGCGCTGATAGCATTGGCAATGGTCGGGTGCGAATGAGCCAAGAACAGCGGCAACAGCCAATGTCAGAGCCACTACCACAGAAGGAAGAATCATTAAAACCATCTGAGCCAACTAACAGTCAAGGAGAGCCATTGCCAGACCAAACTACTTGGTTTTCTTGCTTCTCTAATTTCTCTTGTTGGCCTTGTACATTTTCTTCTTGGAAGGGGAGTTTTTGCCTCAGCTAATTTTTTACTAGTTTCAAATGTTAAAGTAAAAACTCAATTTTGCGAAGGTTTTGCATTACATTAGAAGGAAGGTTTAGACAGAGCCGTAGCTGGAGATTTTGATACCGAGAGCAAAGTTTATACTTGTGTCTCTAGTCATAATTGTCACTTTATTGACCCGAGAATTCAAAAACATCTCAACAAAGAAATAACTATAGAAAAAACTTACATACGAGGTAAAAACTGGAAAGAAGTTTTTACCATGTAGTTATAGAATAACAATGATCACATTACTACTCCTGACGTTCATTTTTTACTTGTCATATTTTCCTCTTTCCTTACCCTTCATTTATTCAAAAAAGAAATTATTGGCACTTGATGCTCCACGCCCCCCAGTCTCATTGTACATTTGGACAATTGTACTTCATACTCATATTGTGCCTTAAACGAATCAAATAATTTTTGCTCGATTTGCAATTCGAATTCGTATAACACTATTCGAATTCGAAAAATTCAAATACAAATACAAATAAGAATACTAAATTTGATTCGAATTGTTATCAAATACAAATAAGAATATCAGTGTATTCGATTCGAATATTAATCAAATAAATTCAATTAATGATAGTGTTATTATTATAATAATATTAAGAATTAAGAATAATAGTAATAACACTATAATAACTTTTAAAAGATAGCTATACACTCAAAGGGTAGTCCATATATACATTTATGTATACAAATTTCGAACGCATTTGTAATAAATCAGAAGTATCATACGGAGTAAGGATTGTAAATAAGGCAAATAATTTTATTTTCATTCGTGGTTTGGATTCAAAAAATATGATTTAAATTTGAAAATATAGAATATAAATACGATCGAATACAAATCAGATTTTTGGTTCAAGTACGAATACAAATAATTATGTATTCGATTCAAAGAATAAAATTAGAGGCGTTTGACTACGATATACGAAGTATACAATTATCAACTTGTTTCACACATTATAAGTATAAGTTCTAATATGTGTGTGTTAGTGTTTATCGTATAATGGATCGATACATTTATAGGTTGTGCACAATATACTAAAGTCAATCAATTTTATGATTAATAAATATAAATTTATAAATGTATCGATCCATTAAATTTCAAAGAAAAATGTACTTTTAAAAAATTAAATTTTAAAAACACATATTACGTTATAGCATGCATTTATAAGAAAATTGCTTTAAAGTGATATTTGACTAATATTTAACTTATGCTCAAATCGATTCGATATTCGTATATGATTCGTTAAATATTCGTATTGTTAAACAAATACAAATACAAATCGAAATTAATATTCGTTTCATATTTGAATTCGGATTCGTATTCGAAAAAATTAAACAAATACAAATACAAAATCTCACTATTCGACTCGATTCGGTTCGTATACAACCCTAATTGTGCCTATAGGCTATAGTTTGGGGCTAATGTGGTAGGATATACATTTCATTTGCTTTGAATCACATATTCTGTTATGAACACCTATGAATATGATTCTGTTATGAACACGTATGAATATGTTTGCGTATACTTGTCAGTTGTCATAAAATTAATTTATACTATTGGACATGCTCTAAGTTTTACCCTCTTTCATGAGAATCATCTTCTCATCTTCTGTCTACATTTCTAGAAAGGGAAAGTGAAAAATGATTACTGATTTTACTCGGCTAATCCAGAAATCAAATAGTGAGAAATACTTGCTTTGTTTCTACTTTTCTTTCTCTCTTTTTTGACATATTAAAAAGGAAGAAAATGATGTGATTGAAATTTGTTTAGAGAAAGAAAAAAATAGCATTAACAAGATCTTATTTTTGTAAACGTGAACAATTTTTGGACAAAATGAATAGAAAGAGTACATCTAGAAATGAATAAATGTAATATTTCAATTACTTGATGAAAGAGTGCTACTATCCTCATTACAAAATCCCCCATTACCTAAATCATTAGTCCCTTCAAAATTGTGGTTCAAATGTACAATTCTTTGGACGAATTTCTATTTTATTTTGCAATGAGCCTCCGTTTTTCTACATCTGTTACATTGGACATTGTCAAGTTTTTTTTGAATGGAAACTGACTAACTTATCAATATTCAATACTGAATAGTCTTCTGCCATCAAATTTACCAATTACCATACATCGAAGGTCCTCTCACCCTCTGATTAGCTATAGAAGCCGTCACCTTAACTAGAGCGGATCGAGTCGCTAATCATATGAGAGATATGAAGAATATTTTGGCTTTTGAAGTCATTCTACTTCTTAGCATAAAATATCTTCCCACCTCATAAGCATGCACACCCAAACAACAAAGGGTCCAAAAAATAAACTGGAAGATAACAAGATTAAATTGCAAACTAAACGAGCCTGCTAGTGCTTGCCAAACTCCATTATTCTTGATCCTTCTACCTGAGACCTTCCACAAACAGCCAAAGCTCCAATTTGTACATTCCATGCAGGGGCGGAGCTAGAGCACTAGGCCGGCTGGGCCGATACAAAGAATATTTTTTGAAAAATTTTTACACAGAATTTTTTACACTAAAAATACAGACATTTTTAAAATTTGGGCTGGGCCAGGGCTAGGGATGGCCCTCCCCTAGCTCCGCCCATGATTCCATGGCGGTGGTTCAGGAGGAGGCCCGACCATCAAGACCGCTATGATTGATACTTCAACACCGACGAACACGATTTTTCTGAAGTGAAGGTCCAATCAAGCGCTAGACTCTCATACGCCACACCCGGAGTCGTGATTTTCGCCAACAGAGTCGTGTCTCCTTCATACATCTCCATACTGCCATACGCCTGAGCCAGCTGCTCCACCTCGAATTGTTCCTGGTTCGCCGTCATCATCTGCCCTCAGAATGGCCTGAATGAAATCAACCGAATCGTCGCACCTCGAAGTCTGCCCCCTCCCTCAGCCATCCGCAGCTCAAACCGATTGGAGAGCCTTCTCCTACACCCAAGGATATCACAAACCAGTCCCAAACGGAGCCCTGGTGGAAACGCTTCTCGACCTCTCCGCCAGTCAGGCCGCACCTCCGTCTGCTCTGTCTTCTACCAAAGTTGTTCAACCTACTGCCTAACCCTAGGCCCGTCCGTGTCTCTCACTAAATGAAACTTAGTTATACGCAGATGTTAACCTTTTTTGTCAAGTTTGTTTTATTATGTGTAAAATAAGAAAAGTAAAAATCATGTGATTGAGAAGTATGTCGAGGAAAGAGAAATAAATAGAAACATAAATTATTTATTTTAAAAGAAAAGTGACAAAGTTTTTAGAAAAATAAAAAAAGAAATTTGGCAAAATTCAATGCGATTAAAAGATATTGAATTGATAAATCGATTCCAATAAGAGTGAAAATAGACAAAGTGTACAAAGAAGAGTAGTTATGCGTTATTTCCAAAATAAAATTTATTTGATTTTGTAAAAAGCATAAAATCTCGTCGATTAGGACTGGGTGAGTTGTATTTTAAGAATGAAACAATGGTGGTCAGTTATATACTTTATTTAAGTTTTATTTGTATTTAACACAATTTAACTATGAAATTCCTTATGAGTTTACAATTTTATTATAAGAACTTATATTTTCTAAGAACTTATAAATGCCTCGAATAACATACAAATTTATGCAATTACCAGATTTGGGAGAACAGTCAAATTGTAGAAAATGAATTATAGTTTCATTCTTATGAAACTCATACATTTGATAAACATCATTCTTATGAAATTCATTCACAAAAGTCTATGAACTCATGATACAAATGTATGAATTTCATAAGAATGATATTTATCAAATGTATGAGGGATAGTAGTTTACACAAAAGCAATATTAACAATAAACAGAATCTCAAATGCTACATATGTAATTCATATAATAATGTAGAGTTATTATGCAAACACAAATCATGTTTATATTGTGCATTTATATTGAAGTGGATCTCAGATTTATTTATCGTATTATAAAATAATACTCGGTAATAAAAATGAGTTTGATTTGCAAACCTTACATCTAAAACTGTCCCAATACCCCATGACCCGGTACTGGTCCAGGATGACCAAGACCAATTGCCCTATTCCAGATTCATGCAGGCCTACTTGTGACGTATAGTAAAGGAAAAACAAAGTTTGTGAAAATTAGAGAGGAAGATAAAATAATAGAGACGGAATGTTAATTATAATGAATTAGTAGTCCATAACAATCCATCAGAGCCGTCCAATGAATTTGGAGGCCCCGTTCCAAATGTAAAATCGAGGCCCCATTTTAATATTAAGAATTAAAAAAATGAAATACCTATACTAAAATCAATTGAATACTCGTCAAATAATGTAATAAAAATTCTAAAAATCACTTAATATTTGATTTAAAGCAACACAACTCATCACTCAATCAATTTGAGTAACACATGAATAAGAGTACCGACAAAAACTTTATTTTATTCATTAGTATTTATTTCTATTTTCACTATGTAATACTTATAATTTTTTTAAAGTTGGGGCCTCCAAAATCGGGAGGCCCTGCTGTAGAACATGTTGAACATGCTAAACGCCGGCTCTGCAATCCATGATCTTATAATTCCATATGAATGCAAGTTTAAATACCATTAAACTAGTGTAGACTCAAAAGTATATTCAATATATATATACCCAAACTCAGAGTTCATATTTTTCAAAAATTTGTCACTAATGGTATGTTTGAAACTGATTTTGCTTCTACTTCTTTTTTAAAGTAGAAGTAGAATCAGAATCAATTTTCAGAAGCTGATCTCCCCCAACTTCCAAAAAAAACCTGCTTCTAGGAGTAAATTAGAGCACCATAAATATTTTTTCACTTTACCCAAACACCCCATCTTCTACTTTTGCTTCCTGAAGGAGCATGAGTAGTTTTAAGAATTAGATCCAAACACCCCTAAGTTTATATAACATAATTCCATTTATATGTAATTTTTTCATCTAATTTATGTTGAATCCAAACAGACATTTACTTCTTCAGCTCAGTTTATTTAATAGGTTCATTGACATCCTTGATTCGTTGTGTACTTATATATAGGTACCATATATGAGTTTTTTCTCAAAATAATGTCAAACAAAAATATACTTCCCAAATTAATATTGGGTTAAAAGTATTTCCCAAGTAACCTGAGAACAGCCACTTGAAGTGGCGGCTTACACAAAGAGAGAGCTCGTAACACGCAAAGAGAAAGCGCATAATGCACAATGGCAAAGCAAAAAAATAAGGAAATGGTCCCACCCAAAATAAAATCTCCTATTTTCTTTAAAGTGCTACAACTTTTTTATTTGTACTCCGATTGTTATAAAAAGTATACCAAAATTCATAAATTTTTATTACCTTTCATTCGTCACCGACTATATAAAAATAAAAAAATAATTTAACACTTTAAAAATATATATCTTCTTTATTTGTATTCCGATTATTACAAAAAATATATCAAAATTCATAATTTTTTATTATCTCTCATGTGAAAGCAATGTTTCATATATCAAAATAAACAAAAAACTAATAGTTTGTCCAGTTTAGGATCATTTTTTACCGTGCACGAGAGTTTATGCTATTCCATTCTACGTTATCACTCCATATTAATAGCGTGCAAGATAAAAAATGATTATAAACTGTCCAAGTTAATAATTTTTTTTATATGCAACATTGGTGTCATATGAAAGGTACCAATTGAAGTACAAATAAAAATGTTATACTCCCTATGTCCCAAATTGATGGTCTTGTTTCTTTTGGGCACAAAGATTAAGAAAGACTAAAGAACCTAGTTTATTATATTGTTCATCCTTTTACATACTGTTCATTAAAAAGGAAGGGTATAAATGGTAATACACTTTTGTTCTTTACCACAAAGGGAAACAAGACCATCATTTTGGGACATCCCAAAAAGGAAATACAGGACCACCATTTTAGGACGGAGGGAGTAGCATTTTGAACAAACATACTACGCACATAGTATCTTTTTCAAGTGTTAATTTATATATATATATATATATATATATATATATATATATATATATATATATATATGAAACATTGCTTTCGTATGAAAGATAATAAAAAATTATGAATTTTGATATTTTTTTTGTAATAATTGGAATTCAAATAAAAAAGATATATATTTATAAAGAACAAATAATTTTTAAAGTGTTAAATTATTTTTTGATTTTTATATAGTCAATATTGGTGTCAAATGAAAGGTAATAAAAAGTTATGAATTTGGTATATTTTTTGTAACAATCGGAGTACAAATAAAAAAGTTATGACACTTTTAAAAAACAGGAGATTTTATTTTGGGTGGGACCATTACCTTTTTTTTGAGTAAAGGGTCAGTTCGGTCCTCGAAGTTGCAAAAAAGGGGTCAAATAAGTCCTTATATAGAAGATTCTGTCCGGACGTGCCATTTGAGGTGGCTCCAGCTAGAATTTTTTGATGAAAATTTTTGAGCATCTTATTCATTAAGTCTAGTTTACTCATACCAAATTTCAGCTAAAAATTCAATCGGGGAGACATTCAAATGAATTCTGGAAGATAACTGCGCTTTTAACGGCACAGCTATCTTCAAGAATTCATTTGAATGTCTTCCCGATAGAGTTTTTATGTGAAATTTGGTATGAGTAAACTAGACTTAACGAATAAGATGCTCAAAAAATTTAATCAAAAAATTCCACCGGGAGCCACCTCAAATGGCACGTCCGGACAGAATTTTCTATATAAGGACTTATTTGACCCCTTTTTTGCAACTTTGAGGACCAAACTGACCCTTATCCCCCTTTTTTTTGCTTTGCCATTGCGCATTATTAGCTTTCTCTTTGCGCGTTACGAGCTCTCTCTTTGCGTAAGCCTCCACTTCAAGTGACGGTTCTCTAACTCAGTTTATTTGAGCGGTATTTTGGGAAATATTTTTAACCCAACATTAATTTGGGAAATATTTTTTTGTTTGACATTATTTTGAGAAAAAAACTCACCGTATATACCCATTTTTTGTGTTTCTAAAAACTCCGTATAATTGCCGTTATGTTTGATAGACTTATGTATTTATTTGAACTTATTTCAGTTACATGTTAGATCAGACTAGATTAAACAAGATCAAACTAAAAAATTCAATCCAAATATATAATACTCCATCCGTCCTTTAAAACTTTATCAAGTTTGACTCGCACAAAGAATAATAAAGTAGAAATTATATGGTTGAGATTTGTGCAGAGAAGAGAGATATAACAGTAATCACAAATTAGTTGATTAAAAAAAATGACAAAGTTTTTGAAATATAAACAAAGAAAATGATTGCAAAAGAAAATCAAAGATATTGATTTGAATATCCCACGCAGGCACACAAGAGTGAAGACCACTTACTCCTCCCCAAATCAAATAGGTAAAATATATCGTACACCCGGTTGTACGGTTCTCACCGTACAACCGGGTATTTTTGAAATTAATTACAATTCAGATGGTAAAGATTAGGGATGAAGAAGCCGCCGAAGAGTTCTGTTTGCTGCGCGCGCTGATGTCCTGGGAATCGACGGAGGAGGTGCCGATGTTTGGCCTGCTTCGACGAAGAGTTTGCTTCGATGTTTGCTTTGTTATGCTTACGTTTTTTGTTTTGTTTTTTCTTTTATTCCTTTCCTGCCTTAACTTGTTTCCTTCTTTCTTTTCTCTTTCCTTTGTTTTTACTTTAATGTTATTCAATTATAAAATATTTTATGTATTAATGTTTTGCTTTAATATAAATCATTTTGTAAGTTACAAATGCTCATTTGATATCGGTTTTATGCTAATTTTAAAATATCATTTCGATACTCATTTCGTAAGTTATCTATGCTCATTTGATATTGGTTAAATACTGATTTTAAAATGAGCATTACATCATACATTTCAAAATGTCATATTCATGCATATTGGTGTAATGCTCATTTTAGTTGTTTCGATGCTCATTTCATAGGTTATGCATTCTCATTTACTATTTGAGCATACTGAAGATTTTAAGTGAGTTTTTTGAATTTTTTCAATACTCATTTTATCTTGGTGTAATACTCATATTGTAAGTTACTTATGCTCATTTGATATTGACGTTATGCTCGGTTGTAAAGTGTTATATCAATGCATATTTGAAAACTATCATATTACATTAGATTTGCAGACAAAAATTCATAAGAGTTGAATGTAGATATAATTTAAGAAGTTTTTATTAAATAAAAATAAGAAAAAGAAAGTGAAATAAAGATACTACGTATGAAGCAGGGATCACGCTACTCATTGTTAGCCTCCTAATACTCAATAAAATAGGTTCGATACTCACTAAAATTACATTATTGCTCATTTAGCGGAAGTCGCAATTTTTCACTCAAATTATAAAATTGCCACCAATTTTTTTTTGGTCTGTATTGGTTGTTGGATTGTCTTCCTCAGTTGGGTCGGGTGTACGTACACCCGGTGGTATGATATACGGACTGAATCAATTGAGTATATCAAATTGTATGAGATGGAGTAAAGAGTACACAATATTGCATTTGATCTTTTTAAGTACCCAAATTCGAGTTTTTAGTGTTAATTGAGTACACCTGTTAATTTAACACGTTAATTCGGCTGAGTTGGCTAACAGAACGCTTATAGGTCGACTTTTTGAAGGTCGAGCCGACCCCCAACTACTTCATCGACTTCTTCTAGGTTGACGTTAGTCCCCCGCAGGTCGACTTCTCCTTGGTCAATGCACCCCTACTGGCCGACGCCCCTCATAGGTCGACCCCCGAAGATCGATTTCCCCTTTTTGTTCAACTTCGTGAAGGTCGTCGCCATAACCTTGGTCCATTACCCTTTCTTACTCAACATTCCGTTCAGAGTTGCATTAACGTGCTAATCTAACAAGTGTACTCAATTAACACTAAAAATCTAAATTTGTGTACTTACAAAGAGTAATATAATGTACTCTTTTACTCTCCTCAGCCAAGTTGTGTATACTTTCCTCCCAAATCAAATGAACCATCGCCATTCAAACTCAAGTGTCTCCGCCGGCCATCCGATAAGGTATCGCAGCCAGAACTTCTATTCGTCGCCGGTGCTGCTATCGGCCATCATTGCGGCCGGTCTTAACTCAAGAGGCTCACTCGGCAGCGGGTGTTCTCAAACGCAGAAGGTTTCAAGGTATCCAAAGCTTTGCTTTTTGTAGCTAAGGTCAGTTCAAAGCATGTAACTTTTTCAATGGCATGGTGTGGATTTTATTCAGATGAAAAATTGTGCCTATTTACCACAGGGAATAATTATTTTTGCCAGTTTTCTGTCAATATAGAGAATTCATATTAAACACTGGGTTCGCATATATACTTCATACTTGAACTGAAAGTCTGAAATGCTAAATTGGAATCACTTAATCTTTATTAGGCAATGAGTTCTCTTATAATAATTCCACTTTACTACAGAGTTCAGATGCTATTTTGCACCACTATTGGTTTGGCATTCCAATCTCAGTTAATATGTTAATATTTCAAACGAATGCAAGTCAGTAACTAATGTTCATATTGTTCGGGTGAATCTGGGTATAAAAAACATAGGTTCACTCTGGAGATTCTCGGATAACCTCGCACTCAGTGTATAGGAGCTCTCCTCTCGAGTCGCAACTAGGGAGTAATATTTTTGTTTTTATCTTGGCAAATCTCCAATCAAAGGTATTTTATTACATTTATATAAGCTGACCTAATAACGTCCAAATACAATTTTGTACACCTGGGCTCACCCAGTTTACCCGAAATCCAGGTTTACTATATTTCATACAAAGTTACAAACTAATGCTTATAAAGGCTTTTTTAAGCCTTCAAGAGTCTTGCATTCGTGAGGCTAGTTGTAACATGTAAGCCTCATGTGATTTAGTGTGTAAGCCTTAAACTTTATGTTGTTCATAACATCCGTAACAAGTTGCAACTGCTAACAATTTATAACATATTATCAATCATATATTATAACAATTTTCACTATGGGTCATCCGGAAACAGTCTCCTTATGCTTTTGTACAGGGGTAAGACTGCGTACATCCGATCCCCCTTACCCCACCGTAGGTGGGAGCCTTTGCGGCACTGGGGTAAATGAAAATGAAATGAAATGAGTCAAATATCATAAGTTAACTCTTTAAAGATCTTTTTAAGAGTGTTTGCTCGAAAAAAAGAACACGAAAAAGTTATCCAAATGAGAAAACAGAAAGGAAATTGTTGGAGAGTTTGATATTTTGGAGCACTTTGTATAAAAAGAAAACTAAAGTAGCTGTTACATCTATTGTTATGATCTGAATCAAAAGGTAAAACTGTAGTTTGAGTTTGAACCTAGCTGGGAAGAAGACAAGAGAGACGCCTATGCAAGATTGCAAGGGCAGCTAGGGTGCATAGTAGTTTGTAGGTAATCCAAAGTAATTGAACTGAGTAGAGCTGTGTGGATATAGTTGTTGATTTTGAAAAAAGATTTTATGGATTTAATGGGGCTTATCAACTCATTAATAAAGAATAATAGACCCAGTATAACTTTCTTTAAATTTAAGAACAAGTCAAGGCAAAATTTGAAAAAAAAATATGAGATTTAATTTTCGCAATACTCCACTATGTTTGAACCGCACAAAATGCTTCAACCATCTTATGCACCAGTTCATTCACTTGTGACTTAAGCTTCAGTTTTTTCCCACCCCCTCACATTGAGGTGGGCCTTTAGGCACTTTTCAAAAATGTCATTTTAAACTATGATCATAACCAAATGAAGCCTAATAGTAGTTTTAGCTCATCTACTTGTGCTAACTTCCAAAGGAAAAGTACATTTAAAAGGTGCTATTCTTAATAAACAATCATGTTTGGTTAAGCTACAATTTTTAACCTTTTTGGTGAATTGCATGACAAAATAACTAGGTTTGATGATTTGCGTACACATGCATATTCCTTCAACATGAGAACATTGTGGGAAAGTCTGACATGAGATGAGATGAAAATGTGTTGCTTCAAGAGTTGAGAGCAAATGCATTTTTGTTAGGGAAATTTCCCAAAAATAGGAGTAAACACAATATGGTTTCTCTCAAGTGGAGTACTCCCCCCCCAAAAAATAGGAGTAAAATATTGTCATTCTCAAATCATTCTGCCATAATATGACAGTACTGTCCACGCATGGTAGTAATAATCCCGTATTTAGGGAAAAACATAGTACTCTTAGTTAGGAAAACTACATTGTTTTTACTGCTGATTAGGGCAATTTCTTTTTAGCTAATTACTCCGTATCACTTTCAACTACTTAATATTTAAATAGTGGATTCATGTCATTTGTTGTCCAATCTCACCATGAAACCCAACTATTAGTATTACATTGAAACAACAGCTTTGGAGCAAATATTCTTATGAGTAATGCAAGACCAAAATGTAATTCTTTATAAGTTGAAAACAATACTTCAAGTTTTTAGAAATGCTACATTTTTGTCTCGTTTCGTTATTTGATGTTGTCTAGTTTAACCTTTCATAATAGTAAATCACTAATACATTGAACTAACTCATAATACACAATAAAATTCAAAATATATGGAATTCTTAAATATTTTTGTGGACTGATCCACGTGAAATTGATAAGTTTTGGTGGATAGAAATAGACGGGTCATAATCTTGTTTGAATTCTAAATGATGAATGCTATTAAATAATTACATAGATGATAATTAGTTTTATCACCACCTTCATATGTACTTAATAGTTTTTTTCGTATAATTTGCCATATATCACATTTTTTATATATGATAATTATTTTTTGATGATTTTTGTATGAATTTATTGAAGCCCATATAATCTTCTGGAATGATGGATGCTACTATGCTAGTGAAGAATTAGATAGATGATAATTAGTTTGTTACCACTATCAAATGCCTTTTTATAATTTTCTCACTGATATCCCATGTTTTTTTACTTCTTTTGTGCAGATGAGCTTTAGCCTCCATTGTCCACACACGTAATTCAAATATCAAAATGGTACATCCAATTTGCTTCTCTTCCCAATTACACATCCCCTCACCATCTCCCTCTTTCATCCCACCACCATCTTCAAAACTCCACAATCCAACCTTGAGCATCCCAATTAAACCGAAACGCTTCTCTCTCCACTTCTCAAAACCTAATAGTTCCCTTTCCCCATCAAAAAGGTTTTATCCTAGAGCGGCCAATCAGAACACAGAATCCAACAGGAGAGCCCCAGAAAACCAATCTCAACCGACAAAATCAGATGCTGAGGTTGTTGCTGATGGAGGTGGTAAAGACGACAAGGACGTATCACGTTTGGCTTCAAAAATAAGGGAAGCTATAGAGACGAAGGAGCCAGATTTTTGGAGCGGAGTGGTGGAGGAGATAAGGGAGATCGAGTGGCCTGCTTTCAACAAGGTTATGGGTACTACTGGAGTGGTGTTGGGGGTTATTGCTGGATCCAGTATCGTTTTGCTTACCGTCAATGCCATTTTGGCTGAGCTTTCTGATAGGGCCTTCGCTGGGATGGGAGTCCAAGATTTCTTCAGCTGAGCAGATGAATGGAAGCTGCTTATTTTTTTCTTGTTTTAGGCACAAAATTGGGCTGCTCGTTTGTAATTCTGTGTTATAAATTTGGCTATTCGGTTTTCACTTTTTGATTTTTAGTTCTTGATGAATCATCAAATTTTATACAGACATGGCTATTTAGTAAATATTTTAATTCTAGTTATATACTTTGTATATGACTAAAATTAAAATCAATGTTCTAAAAGTCGCTAGGCGCTAGTCGGGCGTTAGCCCAACACCTAGCGTCTAGGCGGCTAGGCGGGTGCCTAGGCGGGGACTAGTCAAAAACATAGAAATTGCATTTTTATCTATATTTTTGCATAAATATGATAAGTAATATTGTATTTTTGTGTGTATAAAATACATATATACATATACATTAACAAACATGAATGATAGAATTATCACATTTAATCATACGTAGTATATGGGTAACTAATCACTTAACTTCATTATGTTATAAATATAAATAATGATAAAATGTAGGTATATATACAAACTATATAGTTTTATCATAATTTACAACTTCATTTCTTTAAATCAATGACTAAAGTTAAAGTATGTATATCGCTTAGAAAATTAAAATTAAAAGGTGAAGTAATGTTCGTCGAACCTAGACAGCCTAGGCGGCCGATTAGGCGCTCTAAGCGGGCAACTAGGCGCCATAGGCGGCCGACTAATTCACCTAGACGGAAAACCAATTAGTCGGAGTGCCTAGACGAAAATCGAGGCGCCCGACCACCGCCTAGCGCCTAGGCGGGGACTAGTCGGGCGCCTAGAACGATTTTTAGAACAGAGATTAAAATATTGGACAAAGGATGTGTCCTATAATGTTTAGTAACTAGTGATTATGGAATACTTCAAAAAAGCTGTTAGGGTGGGAATGTGGGATACTGGGATCATCTCACATGACATGAGAAACTTTTAGCTCAATGATTTAAGTACTCAATCATTGAGCTAGGGTGTTTATTACTTCTTCAGTTCCATATTTTTCTAGGCACTATGGGGATAGTGCAAATTTTTCCATCTGGGGATAATACAAAATCTTCAATTCATTTTTATTTAGAAATGATGAATATGTTTGATTTTATTTCTGTGTACACAAATCACACGCACAAAATGTCGTTTTCTTAATAATTATTGCTACATTTTTGGTAGGAAGGAGTAGTATAAGAAGATACTTTGTATAAGCCAAACTTTTAACTGGAAAAGTTTTAAGTGCAACTGGAGGAGGCTCCAGTGACAGAAATGTAAAATGCTTGAGAAACTGGAAAAAGGTATATCCTCAATGGCAGTAAAACTTTTAACTGCAAGGATCAAGATGGAGTATAATATGTGGAAAGAATTATCCCACAATGAGAATTACTGTACTAAAAAGAAATGAAAACTTCCTAATTTGCAATTCTACCATTTCTAAACTTTGAAATCATTCAGGAGAATCTAAGCAGCACTTTAGATGCATCCTTCCCTTTTATGCTATACTGATAATGGCTTGGTCCACTCCTGAAACTGGTGGAGGCTGCCTGGGAAGTCAGTGAAGAGTCCGTCCACGCCAATCTGGTTTATCCACCAACTAAACTCCTTGTATGGATCTTGGCTGAAGTTGAAGTGCAAGTATGGTTGCTCGTTCCGGTATGTGTACGGATGAACCTAGAAGTAAAGACCATTATCTTCTTTCATGTTTAATAGAGAACTAGTGGATCAGGCATAAATAAATACTACCCGTAGTACTAATAAACAGTAAAATGTTTTGATAGGGGCATTCGGCATTCCTATGATCCTCAGGGAGAAGCTGTTATAGAACGTCCACACAAGTACACATGATGCATCATCACAACTCTTGGAACAAAATGCTTGAGACTTTAGGCTCCATCTGGTTGCAGGAAAATAACTTTATGTGGAAAGTTATTTCCTTGAAAACATTTTCCAGATAAAGTTATTTTCCTGCAGGAAAGCATTTTTCACAAAGTTATTTTACTTCATTTGGTTGCAGGAAAATAACTTTATAATGAAAATCAATTATTTTATGGAGTATATAGTGTAATGTTTAACCTTTAAAACAAACATTGGAAATTTTCCAGAGCTTTTTCAGTGTGCCAAACATGAGAAAATCCAAAAACATTTTACGTGGACACAGTATGCCTCATCACGGTATACATTTAAAACACAACACTTTGTTCCTGAGAGGTCCTTATTTCTGTAACATATAACAATACCTGCAGGTTGAGGGAATGTGCGCGTGCAACCAGATCAGTAGGAGGCTGCAGATAGTTATTTGAGACAGGAACTATGGTATCCTTCCACGGCCCAATCCCCACCACATAGTCTTTTATGAATTCAAGATAACTGTCTGAAGTTATATCCGAATAGGACTGGCATTTCACATTTATAATAAAAAAGGTCAAACTTCATTTTAATATAATCTGCTGTGAATAGTCAAATAGCACTCACCAGAAAATACAATAAACAAAAATTGCCTAGTATATCCTGCTTTAAATAATATTCAAATACATTCCTCTATTTACTATAATATGATAAGTACACATATTATACAAGACTGGTATTTGGATTTACTTGCATCCATTTAGTGGAAACAACTGAATTACTAGGAATTAATAAGCTTTCTCTCTCTCTAAAAGTTACAACTAAAACATAAAGGAAAAAGCGACTACATAGTCACTGAAAGTACTCTAAATATAACACCAGGGTCACTATAATGTAAAATTGTACATGGATGTGCTCATGTGCATTAGAAGTTGCATATTTTCTATTACTTTCATTTTAGTCACATGTTGTGATTATTTCATTGAACAATGGAATTCATAGGAACTAGAAGCCAACCCTAACAAGGCGTAGTTGTTGTAGGTGTTATATCTACAGTAAAAATATATAGTTGTAATGAAAAAACAAGGAAATAAAAGTATTTGTGTTTTTACCTGCTGTGTGTCTTCAGTTAATATAGTGACATCATCAATCAAAAAGACCATGGGCAGGTCAGTGAGGTTGGATGCATAGGTAAGAGCGGTCGGGGCAAAGGATTGAATAAAAATAGGCTGTTTCAACCATTCTTTTGACATATAAGAACCGTTGTATCCGTACTTCCTAAGGGTTTCAACAAACTTGTCTTCAAACTTCTTACCACCTGACCACTTAACCTGTTTGAGGTAGGCATTCCTTTAAGGTTAGACCTAATTAATCACAATCTAATTAATTAATTAATTGAATTCAGCACCAAGGAATTAAGAACTCACATGCTGATTAACAAATACTGGGTTCTTTATTTCTGGATATATTCCAACAACTCTAGGGGCATCAAGTGCAATTGAAATATACTCCTCAAATGTTATTATAGGGAACTTTCCTGATTGGAAATAAATATAGTAAACATGTGACAAAAACAAAACTTGTTCAGTTCAAGATAAATGTCAATAACAAAATACATTTAGTACTAACCGTTATATTGTTGATCTCGGAAAGAATATCTTTGTTTTGCTTTAAGGGTCTGCAGTTCAGCCAGCGTGAAATCAACTGCATTTGATGAAATAAACTATGTATATGCTGATATTGCTCTGGCATTAGATGCCTAAAATTTTATGTAAAGGGTATAAATAGATATGGAAATTTATTTCCGGGATCTATGGCTCCAGGAGAAGGAACTTATGTACATATACTGTCAAACAATTTAGATGCAAATGTAGGACATGACAGTGACTTGTGCACTTGGAGTCATTTCAATGCCAGACCATACGACTTAAACAAACTTAACCAGACTAGAAGAGAATTAGATAATAATAAAATACAGATATATCAAACCATCACAGACCGTACTAGTTCTAAAGGACCTCAGCAAACTTAACAAACCAGTTTAGAGCAGACTGATGAATCTTAGCCCAAACGAGCATGCCCTAATCCAACACAATGATTTCTAATAAGGAGAAATTGTGTTATTTAAGATGATAATAAATTTTGTCCTAAACTGACACATATATCCCTATTGATTTATATGTATTAAAAGTAATCTATTGCAATCAAAAGAGAATTAAACAACATAGGTCAACTTAACCATTTTACTATTAAATGCCACTTTATTGTCTAATTCTACTATGTTTTACTTTATTGGGCTGGAAGGGAAGCCTTGGCGCACCAGTTACGCTGTTGCTGTGTGACTGGAGGTCACAGCCTCACAGGTTGAAGTCTTGAGAGGTGCCTCTTGTCAAAATGACAAGAGAAGGCTTGATCCTTATGGTTCGACCCTTCCCCGGACCCTCACCTTATACTCTCTTGTCAAGGAAGAAATGACATGCACCGGGCTGCCTTTTTTTACTTTATTGGGTTGCAAAATGGCCTCTTATTTGTAAGCAAAATGCATCTAGTTAGTGGGCACTAATTTGATACCCGAGGGAGTAGAGAGTGAAAAATCATTTCTTTTTTTAGGCATGTCATTTCTTCTTTGAGAAAGATATGATATGTCATTATTATTGTTAGAACATTATTATATATCATGTGAGCGACAAACAACGGTAGAACTGTAGAAAGAGTACCAGTGAAAAAGCCAGTTGTGTTGACCCATTGAACTTCATAAGTCCTCTTTCGGTCTGCAAACTCTTTATGATCAGCTATATCACTTGTATCATCAAGGGTTACATCATGATGACATATTAGAAATCCGTCTTTTGTTGCCAAAATATCTGTTTCAATGAAGTCAGCACCTTCTTCAATAGCCCTCTGCATGAGACTCATAGTTTCAGTTACAAATTGCATTAAGAAAACAGAAGCGTTAACCAGGGGCGTTCAGCTCATAGAATGTAAGATTATCTTTGGTAATAGATTAGCTCTAAATGGTAATGGGGGATTAAGGGAATGTTGAATTACCTCAAGGGGTGGTTTTGATTACATAATGTGATTTTACTTAACGAGTCAAGTTCAGTATAAAAATATCACAAAGGTAATCTTACGATATATGTAAGAAACCTGAGGTGATTCAGGGGCTAGTTTCTTTTATTTTTCCATTGAGATGTCTGTGTGGCTTGAGTGGTCATGTATAACAAGATACTAGTACTAGTTATTGTGTACGGAATCAACAATCTTAATTTGGCAGAGCAAAAAATTTAAAGTTTATTTTTGTATGGTGCTATCATTAAGTAATATATATTGCTTAATATTAAGAGACATCAAATATGGGACTAATAAACGATGTAATGACGATGTAATGATCACATCAGTTTTTTTATTGAATGAATAAACCGTGTTCCAATTAGTTAGTTTTTTACTGTCATAAATACTCACTGTTTGGGTCGATCACATTAAGTTACTAAGAAAACAGTGCATTAAATCACTCCCAACATTATCTCAGATTAC